CTCCGCCCACTTTGAAGGAACACGCGACGCACGACCGCGACGCGCCGGAAAAATCAATATGTCTCGGAGCCTAGTCGTGTTTGGGCTCATTTTCAAGCTTACGACGAGCTAGATCCTCTAGTCTTATTTTCAGAGCTGCCTGGAGCCATCTTTGAACCCTTTCCTTCAATCAAATTTTCGAATATTCCTCACCTCATGCGATCCGTGCGAAAAGTTAAGACGAGCAATGTTCATTCCGTTGAGAATCATCTTTTGCAACATGTCGACACTGGCGCACGCCGGTCCAATCGTACAAATGATTCCGGTCTGACGGACGAGATGCGGCGCCTCGCGAATGTCCAGACGGCACAAGTGCTCCATATGGGTGGTGGCTGGCACGGCGGCGAGCTTCTGCTCTTGCCTGGAAAATCGATTTTTTTAAAGATTTTCAAGATTTTCAAAATTCCAATTCTGAATTTTTCGGAATCTAGTCCAACCTAGTCTTATACGCATTCTGCCGGAATCCGGGCACCGAGCAAACGTGCGTTTTCGGTCTAACTCCATTATCTGGCACTTGATTATTGTTCAAGTCCACCCCTTCCTCTCCAGCAGTCAGTTTTGACAAAACTGGAGTCAACGGGGCCGCCGGCTCAACACAAATACGTTTCGATGGATGCATTGAATTGCGAGTGTTACCAGAGAGGATGGACCAGAAACGATAGATTGGGTACGAGTTGATTTTTGCGGCGATATGACGATGATATGTGGTTCAAGTGTTGGCTGGGAGTCGTGGCTTGTGCAAGAGTGGTTGGGTGGTTCTGGGACAGGGGTCACGTGGAGCTTAGGACAGTCTAGAAATGGCCCCGAGAGGGATCAAATGCCGATGGACCATCAGGGGACCGTCCATACTGCCTGGATCGTCATAAGATCCCAAAACACGTGGATTCAAGATTCCAACCAATTAGGGGGTGTCTAGAGTCTAGACCTAGAGTCTAGACCATTTTAGGCCATGAACACTGCCCTTCGGCTAGTCTGTCAGACCTGAATCGTACAGTTCTGGACCTTTGACACTGTCTGGACGGTCATGAGATGGAACAAAACACGTGGAACAAAAAGAGAGGGACCAATAGAAACTTGAAATTCGGGTTTATCAGTTTCCGTTGGCTATTCCGGATCGTTTAGACTGCCCGGAACGTCCATCATGTCTCATGAGATGCCAAAACACGTGGATCCAAAAGAGAGGGACCGATAGGAACTTGTAATTTGGGTCCAACAGTTTCCGGCATGTCTGATGGACTATTAGTCTCTTCCGTACCGTACTCCGGACAGTCCATTCCGTCTTCTGAAATTCAGAAACACGTGGATTCGGAATTCCAACCAAACTGGGCGTGTCTAGACAGTCTTCATGCGGTTCAATGGAATTCAAGACAGACCTGCCCTACCTAGTGGATTGGAACTTTTTGGGAGATTATAAGCATAATTGTCCTCAGGGACATGTGCCGAACCAACAAAACCTCGAAATTCGAGTTCGTCAGCTCTCCGTTGATTCTGATGGATCATTAGTCGTCACTAGTCTATTCCGGACTAGACTGTTGTAGGCCGTAGATACTGCCTCTAGGCTAATTCTAGGCACCAATACCTAAACCGTACAGTTCCAGACCTTCAAGACTGCCTGAGTAGTCAAAATTGTGTTGGATTGATCCCAAACCACGTGGATTTCCAATTTCAACCATCTTCGGATGTTTTTCAAAGTTCCTAAAGTTCTGGATAGTCTCGGTTGGATCAAGTCGGGCACAATAGACACCAGGGACATGTTCAGTCTCTTCTCTACCCTTTCCCACAACTTCCATACTGTCCAGATCGTCTTATGGTCCCAAAGCACGTGGATTTCAAATTCCAACAGATTTGAAAATTCTCAAACTGTCTTCAGAACCATCTAATCGATCAAATTGAAGGCTCCAATCCTTGAATCCCATCTAAACCCCTCCCGAGTCATTAAATCCCCAAAATCAAAAACTCACTTATCATAACCAGCCGCATCCAGCTCCTTCTGAAACGAATCGTCGCTCATGATGCTGTGCCTGCTCGAGTGATGATGATGATGCACAAAATCCTCGTCGTCCTCGTCGTTATCGTCCGAATCCCAGGGACCCTCGGAAACCGGCGCGGCGAGGGAGAAGAGTTCGCGGAACGATGAGCTCGACTGGCTCTTTGTCTCAGCTGCGAACACAGATGGCGCCAGAAGGTTGACAGCCTTGATTTGAGGCTTCGAGAGAGCAGACGATGGTGAGGCAAGAGAGGGTGGGGATGACGATGGTGGAGTCGAAGGGAGCGATGGAGGCGGAGTGATCAGAAACTTCCGAGGGGGTGATGCCTCGACTTTTAATGGCTGCTTCTGTTGCTCTGGCTTCGGCTCTTCTGCCAGTGATGGAGGCGGCGGCGACGGTGCAGCAGCCGCTCCGTGCTCCGAACTCTCGCAACTTTTAGTGTTTAGTCCGCCCGTTTTGAATGAATTTTTGGGCAAAACGACGTTGGATCACGAACTATCAGGGATAGTTCGATGCGTCGTTTTTAGTGGGGGGAAATGTAGTTTCAGAACTTCTGTTATCTGGAAAAAATACGCGCTGGAAATGAGGAAAATCGAGAAAGAGAAGCGATGTGGGAGCAAAGGGATTATTCGACTAATTAGAATGAGAAAGAGAGAGAGAGAGAGAGAAAACATAGTTTTGCAGGGGCTTAGCAATGGGATTAGAGTCATTAGAATAGAGAAAAAAATCCAGAGATTCTAGAGTTCAAAAAATCAATTTTCACCAAATTTTAGAATTTTCCACTTTTTTCAAAATTTTCAGCGATTTTCACAAAAAATTGCTAAAAACTCAAAAAATTGCATTAAAAATAAAAGATTCTGAAAAAATTTTTTTCGAAATTTTCATTTTTTTTGAGTTCAAAAATCCAAAAATCCCAAAAAAATTGTGCTGACAAAATAATGCATTTTTTTCAGCTGCTGACATTTGAGAAGCCAAAAAAAAAAGAGAAAATTGAATTTCCTAAAAATCACCATGGCGACAAGGCGACGCTATTCAGAAGAAGCCAAAAATCCCAAAATCCACGTAGTCAACAAAATTTCGATTTTCAGGCTGAAAACAGATTTTTAGGCTTATTTTAGGCCAAAAATCGAAAATTCGAAAATCCGATTTTTGTACCAAAATTAGGCCTAATAAGCCTAGAAATTGGAAATTCGATAAAAATCGAAAATCCAATTTTCAGGCTTAAAATGAATTTTTAGGCTTATTTTAGACCGAAAATCTTAAAATCTTAAAATCCAATTTTCGACTAAAATTAAGCCATTTTAGGATAATTGGTCCAAAAAATCGAAAATCTAAAAATCCTATTTTCGGGTTTGAAACGGATATTTAGACTTATTTTAGGCCAAAAATCGGAAAATCCGATTTTTGTACCAAAATTAGGCCTAATAAGCCTAGAAATTGGAAATCCAAAAAATCCATAAATTACATTAAACACAGAAAGTGGTCAAAATTTAACCTTTCTTGGGGATAAACAAGGAGGAAAAATTAGAGAAAAAGGGGGCGGAGCCTAAAAACTAGTTTTACCAATTTTTTGACGAGGTCAAAAACAACCAAAGTAGATCTAAATAAACCCAATTAGTTAGTGAAAAATAACTAATCGTGTAAGTGCGCTCCATTGAACACATCCTTGATCTCAGCGTTAGAAGACGTTCTAGCCCAGAATCTCAAACCAAATTGGGTCATATTAGAGCTCCAAATTCCTAGAAATGGAACAGAAAATTTTTGGAATTTCACATGGTTTCCAAGGGAGCGCATTTGCATATATTCAAATAGTCTAGAAAATTCCAAACAACTCAGAAACGCTAGAAAAGAAGATTCTAGAATAAAAAATTGTAAGGGGGACTCCCCTAGGCCACAACAAGAAGAAGAAGAAGAAGCATGTGATGACCAGAGACGGCAGAAATAGAGAGAGAGAGAGAGAGAGAGAGGGGGGGGGGGATGCCCCTCGTCGTCGCATAAACAACCGGGAGCAGCACACCAGAGACCGATCTTTAAAGAGCACCTCATGGGGAGGGGCTACACAGACAAGGAACAGAGTGCAGTCCACTAGATCTTTGGAAAAAGTGGCTGTGCACCTTTAAGCCGAAAATACAGAATTTAAAGGCGCAAAGCGTCAACAACAGATGGATGCATGCGCCTTTAAATCACTTTTCGACACTTTTGCATTCCAGTGAAGAGTGTAGTTCGAAAAGTGGATTTTCGGATAGTGTGTGTTCGAGAATAGGAAAAAATATAATTTCCCAAAAATCACCATGGGAACCAAGAGAGACGCTACTCAGAAGTAAAAGAAGCCAAAATTTAGAAATTTCTAGAAATTTCCAGAAATTCACATAGTCAAAAAAAAATCCTTTTTCTGGCTATAATTAGGCTCATTAGGCCTAGTAATCCGGAAAGTTTCAAAAATTCAAAAATCAAAATTTTAAAAGAAAATCCGAAAACCACAGAAAGTGGATTTTTTTGAAACTTCAAGCCAATATATCCCACTTTCTGTGAAAGATATCAAAAAGTGGTTAACTGATAACATGTTAATGATAATGTGATAAACATTTTATCAGTTGACAACTTTTTGATATCTCTCACAGGAAGCGAGATAAATTGGCTCAAAGTTGAAAGTTAAAGGGGGGGGGGTCTTTCAGTGTTCACTGAAGAATGATATCCTTCAGACACTAAAAGCCGCACAGTAGGAGGATAAGCAATTATCCAGAAACTTCTATTTTTCCAAGAAAAATAGATCCTTCTTTTTTTTAAAGCCAGAAAGTTTTCAAGCAGGTTCTAGAGCTCAAAATTGACCATTTTCGGAATTTTCAAAAAAATCAAAATTTGGACTTTTTTTAAAAAAGTTCAAAAAACCATAATTTGCATTGTTTGCATCATCAGAGAAACCTCAACAAAAATGAGCATTTCAACCCAAAATTTCGTCATTTTCGAAATTCTCGAAAATCTCAAAAAAAAATTGCATCATCGGCTTTTTCAGGGTCATGTCCCTTTAAAGTCTCTTCTAAGCAAATTGATGCTCTGAAACTCTCAATTTTCAGAAACCTCTAAAAAAGGTCCTGCCCCTTTAAAGTCATTTTTCGAAATTCACGAAAAAAAACCTCTTGCAAGGGAGCCGCCAAAAAAAGAGCCTGTCCCTTTAAAGGCTCTCTCTCTCCAAGTCTTCAGAAATCGAGCCAAAAAAAAAGAGGAGAAAATCTTCAAGACAAGCCAAGGGGAGAGAAGAGCCCCAGAGAAATTCACATGCTGCTCCTCAGCTTTTTCAGCTTCCACGAGCCAGCACACACAAGGCTCTAGGGCTCCAAATGCGCAGGGAGAGAGAGAGAGCGAGAGAGCATGAAAAATTGAGAGAGTGGTTAGACAGCTAGAGAGAGAGACAGACAGAGAGAAGGGACAAAAAAGGACACGGAAAGCCCTCGGTCTTCTCAGCCTCAAGGCATTCCCAAATAGGCTCCGCCCACTTTTTCACGAAATTTAAAGGCGCAAAGCGTCCACAACAGATGGATGCATGCGCCTTTAAATCACTTTTCGACACTTTTGCATTCCAGTGAAGAGTGTAGTTCGAAAAGTGGATTTTCGGATAGTGTGTGTGTTCAAGAATAGGAAAAAAAATAGAATTTCCCAAAAATAACCATGGGGAACCAAGAGAGACGATACTCAGAAGTAAAAGAAGTCAAAATTTAGAAATTTCTAGAAATTTCCAGAAATTCACATAGTCAACAAAAATCCGTTTCTTGCGACATCAGGCTCATTAGGTCTAGAATTGAAGAACGACTCAGAAAACCTGGTCTTCTCAGCCTCAAGGTAAATAGGCTCCGCCCACTTTCTCAAAAACAATAAAAATCACATTTTATCACTTTGATCTGTCTGGGGGGTGGGTCACCAGGAACAACAGAAATCGAACACGAGGCGACGGATCAAGTGTCCCTGTGCGTCTTTTTCGTGTTTTTGTTAAAAAAAAATTGAAAAATCCAAATTTTTCAATGACAAAAAAATCCATAGATTCTATATTTACCAAAAATTTGCAAAGTGCAAAATTTTTTGTAAAAATTGAGAAAAATATTTTTTTCAAACGACGGTGAGGAGGTGACTCATGACATTGGAGGAAGGACAAGTGGACACAGTTCTGACCGTTTTTAAAGGGAAATTTTTGAAAATTTGAAAAAATATTATGCTTGTCTGAGAAAAAAAAGGTTAGAGAGTATTTTTTGCAGTCTGAGTACGGTAGCGATATCGAAGCGGAGAGCCTAAATAGCACACAAACGGTGGAGACGCAGACACTTTTTCTCTGTGTCTCAACCTTTTTTCTCAGACAAGCATAAAAATTTTTCGAAAAAAAATTTTTTTTGAAAATTTTAAAAATTTCGACAAAAATGTGAAAATTTTGAAAAAAAAATAATTTTTTCGAAAAATTTTTTTTTGAAAATTAGACAAATTTTGACAAAAATGTGAAAAAATTCAATACTGCAAAAATTGCCTAAAAATCGACGAAGATTGATTTTTAAAAAGTCTTCAGGTTACTGTAGTTTTCGTGCTAGGACCCAACATAAATTTGAAATTTTCAGAATTTTTCAAACAGAAATTTCGCAAAAATTAACAAAAATCGAGCTGAAAATGATGCAAAATTTCCAAATTTTCAAGTTTTAATTAGCCCAATTAGCGAAGCAATTAGCGAGAAAAAATCAATAAATCCCAAATTTTTCAGTAAAAAAAAATCAATTTTTCGAGTCACAAATCGAAAATAGGCAGCTTATAAATAGCCAAAAATTTTTCGAAATTTCTGGAAAAAATTCTGTGAAAATATCTCAAAAATAAGGAAAAAAAAATGTTGTCTGGTTTCTCAAGAAAACGGATATGATGTGTTTTTTTTGTTTGTTTACAGCTTTCAGAGTGGTCAAAACAAAAAAAAATCGAAAAAAAAGTGTTTGATGTGCAGGCAGGCAGGGGATACTGTAGCGAGAAAAATGCAGAATTTAGGCCTAAAAATCGTCAAAATTCGAAATTTTTCTGCTGAAAATGTGTAGAATTTTCTAGAATTTTCCAGTAATAATGACATAAAAACATAATAAAAAGGGCACAAAAATAGTATTAGTCCTGGTAAACAAGAGCGCGTGCGCGAGCCAAAGCGAAATTCAGAAGACGTCACACACGTCATCTGAATCACACGTCATCTGAAGTTTCTATCGCAACTCACTTGAAATAGTCACCAGCGTGCTCCTCCTCGATGGTCATTCGGCGGGCGAGGCGGCCGCGGCCGCTGGCGCTCGTCGGCTTCACCTCCTCGACCGTGTCGTTGGCCTCGGCGAGTTCCTGGAAGAAATTAATTGCGCCAATTATCCCAAAAATTGTCAATTTTCAAGCTAAAAATAGCGTTTGATTTTGGTCAATTTCAGCCGAAAAAAATCGATAATTTTTCAGTGTTTTTTGGCTCAAATTCACAGATATTTTCAGCTAAAATTTTCAGACATTTTAAGCTGAAATTTCCAGATTTTTTAGCACTTTCTTGTCGCAAATTTTCGACCGCTACGCCGACACGCGACGCGTCCAAACTCAAATTTGAGCTCAAAGCATAGTGAAATCGCTCTACGGTAGCCTACTTTTCAGCTAAAATTTTTCTGATGACCGCTATGCCGACACGCGACGCCGTGCCCAGGCGCCTATGTGGCCTGGAGCTTCTCAGATTCCAGTAGAGCGCATTTACTTACTCCCTGCTCTCCAAATGAGAAGCATTGACACACCAAACATCTCAAAAACGCTGGCAAGTATCCGCCACCACCGCTAGATTTCTCTTCCACTTCGACTACAGTACTCCCTCCTACAGTACTCTGCGTCTCCGACTCATCATCAATATACCAAAACGGTCGTCCTGTCTCCTCCTTCGCCGTATCCAACGTTCCACACGACGACGTCCGTCTCAGATCGACCGCAAACGAGACACGTCGCGGTGGAGGTGGCGTGTGGATCACTCGGATGATACCATTTTGAAGGATCGGCTGATGGTTGTACTGGGCGTAGAGGTCTTCCAGGGGAGTGATATAGGACTCACGGCGAGCGTCAACTTGCTCTTGAACATAGTCTTCGGGGGTGAGGATCTTTGGGATTCCAGGTGGGACAGGTAGTTTGGGCGTGGGTTCGTAGAACAGGGGAGAGCCGTGCGGATGCGTTCGGCGGGTCCAGATTGAAGCTTCTCGAGCATCAAGAACCGTTTTTGGAGCTTCATTTGAAGCTGGTTGAGCCTTGGGACCTTCTAGAGCCTGATCTTCCAGAGATCGCAACTTGGAGCCTTCAGGATCTTCCCGATCCTTCTGCTCCGAATATTCCAGATCCGTGGATAGTATGGAAGCTTCTGGAGCTATCCTAGACAATTGTGGGGTCTGCACGGAAGCTATTTGAGCCTTGGAACCTTCCAGAGTCGTCTGCCTCGAACCTTCTAGATCCTGATCTTCCGAGGATTGCAGCTTGGAATCTTCTGGAGCCTCTAGAGCCATTGGAGCTTTGGAACCTTCTAGAACCTCCTCCTCCTCTTCCATCCTCTTCATCACCACCATCTCAAACGACTCCAGACTCTCCAAACACCCCTTCACCGGGACGTTGTCCCATGGGACCTCCTTCTGGATCTCCTCATCTTCGACAATCTCCTCGATGATTACTCCATTGCCATCGTCGTCAATGTATGCATACTCTTCATGAATCGTTTCCACGCCTTCAGCACTTTCGTCGTCGTCATAGAAACCCATTCTTGTGTCACACCGCCGACATATCATCACGTCATCTGGATAGGATTCTGGAGCATCTAGAGAAGCTTCTGGAGCATCCAGCGAGCTCAACGCCGACTCGATAACCGTCTCCGTGAGCACCTCTTCTGGAGCGGGTCCGGACCCACAGGTTTGGCAAATTTCAAGACGCCGAAATTCGCCGTTCGTTCGTTCGATGGGAGCCACGGCGGCCGGACCGTGGGGCGGACGCATTTGGGACCTTTAAAATGCGGACCTTTGAAAAATAGCGAAAAACAACGACGAGGAAAAATTCAACGGAGAAGAAGAAGGTGAAAGGTACGATGTCGCTCTAATGACAACTTCGTGAACTCTGTTCAGTGGAGCGAGGATGCAAGATCCGGAAGCATCCAAATGTGCTCTAGCCGACCCTAGAAGGTGGTGCTAGTGCAAATGTGCTCTAGCGAAATTCCAAGGAAAATCCGCTGAAGGTGCAACGTCGCTCTATAATGGCACGGAGTTCAGTGGAGCAAGGATGCTTCCACAATTCCATTAGAGCAAGTTTAAAGCATGCAAATGAGCTCTATTGACAATTCATAGAGAGTTCAGTGGAGCGAAGATGTGTCTATCCGTTAAAGGCATGCAAATGTGCTCCAGCGAAATTCCAAGGAAAGTCCACTGAGCCATGCAAAGGTGCAATTACGCTCTAATGACACAGAGTTCAGAGGAGCGAGGATGCATCTAGCAGTGCAAATATGCTTCAGTGAAATTTTGTCGAAATAGAGTTCAGTGGAGCGAGAATGCATCCAGAGCAAATTTCAAAAGTTCAAAGCATGCAAATGTGCTCTATTGACAACACTCTAGCAGTGAAAGTGTGCTCCAGCGAAATCCAAAAAATTCCGAAACTTCTAGAAACGTTTAGAAATGTCCAGAAGCCTTTGGGGACCTCTAGAACCTTCTAGATCCTTCTAGATCCTTCTAGAAACGTCCAGAAACTTCCAGAAACGTCCAGAAACTTCTAGAACCTTCTAAAACTTTCTAGAAACTTCTAGAAACTCCCAGAAACTTCCAGAAACTTCCAGAAACGTCTAGAAACTTCCAGAAACTTCTTATCAAGCAACGACTTCTCAGAAAACTGAAAATCGCGAAAAATGTCGTGCGAAATAAGCATATCCTCCTTAGTTCTCACGGTTCACCTAGAAAGAAAGTCATGCTTCTTATATAAATTTTTTTACCCAAATTTCCACTTCAATGCATTTCAACCCCTCTCTTTTCCTTCCATTTTTTTGGAGCAGCCTAATCAATGCTCCATTGAAAATTCCAATTTCAAATGGACAGGGGGAAAAGGGTGTCAGAAAAGTGCCAATTCCAATGTGTTGGAGGTGATAAGGAGGTGATAAGGATGGAAAAAAAAGTAGGATTCTCATTAATCCAAAAAACGCGGCAAATTTGAAATTTCCGGTTCTATGAAGAAATACATATGACGATGTCCATTTGGCACGTTTCAATGCGGATTAGCCATAATCTCTGGGTTATAGAAATTTGTAGTTCTTCTTTTCGCGAGTTGTAGTCCAGATTTGGCGGCCAGGAGGTCGAAAACACTAGGCCATGGGGTGATAGGGTACTGTAGTCTCAAAGTGCACAGCTACCGTAATCCCAGGAAGTCAGCTGGAACGCTAGGCTTCAGTAAGCCCAGAAAGACAGCAGGGACGCTAGGCCTCCGGTCCTTAGACCAGTCTGGCGGTCTTTAGGCTAGTCTGGTAGACCTTAGATCGGCCTGGCGGTCCTTAGTCTAGTCTAGCGGTCCTTGGGCCAATCTAGCGGTCATTAGACCGGTTTGGATGTCCTTAGGCCAATCTGGCGGACTTTAGATCGGCCTGGCGGTCCTTAGACAAGACTAGCGGTCCTAAGACCGGTCTGGTGGTCCTTCGGCCATCCGGCGGTCGTTAGGCCAGCCTGGCGGGTCTTAGATCGGCCTGGCGGTCCTTAGTCTAGTCTAGAGGTCCTAAGGCCGGCCTGGCGGTCCTTAGACTAGTCTAGCGGTCCTTGGGCCAATCTAGCGGCCATTAGACCGGTTTGGATGTCCTTAGGCCAATCTGGCGGACTTTAGATCGGCCTGGCGGTCCTTAGACAAGACTAGCGGTCCTAAGACCGGTTTGGCGGTCCTTAAGCCAATCTGACGGTCATTAGACCAGTCTGGCGGTCCTTGTGCCAGTCTAGACGGTCGAATATCTTTCTTGGCGGTCTTTAGCCCGTTTAGGCCGCTAAGAAAACTGTTGAATCGATCCACCGCCTCTAGGCTGCGGTCGATACGGTCGGAATTTCTCCCTTACGATCCTTGGGCCAATTCCATCTGAATCCCTTTTTCTGGCAAAAATTTCGAAAATTCAGAAAAAAAATTTGTCTGAAATTTTTTTTAAAAGTCCCTCAAAAACTATACAATTTCCCTTTTCAATGCACCAAGCATTAACATTTTTTTGTTTACATTTCGGCTGAAAATTTGTATTTTCAGCCGATTTTCAGGGCTGAAAAAACAACACTGTTTTGCATCATTGTTTTTGTCACTTTTTGTAGTTTGTAGTCCCCTTTCCATTCTGTCCCGAAAACCGTCCCTGTCCCTACTTCAGTAAGAGAGTACATACCGTCAATATTGACTTCCACTTCTCGCTCATCTTCTCTAGCCGACTCTCTCCGTTGCGCACACTCTCTCGTCGTCAAAAGTCGGCGGCCGAACGCCATTGAACTCTCTCTCTCTCTCTCTCTGCGTCTCGTCTCTCACCATACTATTTCCCCAAAATTGTTAAAACGGGGCGATATCATCTTCTAAAAAGACAACTGACGAGGTCATCTCGGTCGGTTTTCGTTGACACAGAGGTCCTCGAATTACACAGAAAAAATGCCGAGAAAATTCTAGAAATTTCAGTCAATTTTAGCCTAAAAATTGCGAAAAAATGCCAATTTTTCCAGTCAATTTCAGCAGTTTTATGCCTAAAACTCGATTTTTTTTTCGCCGATTTTTCGTAATTTTTCGCTAAAAAAGAGGGAAAAATTCAAATTTCTCGCTCGATATGTTTCCTCACCATATCCTGAACTTGAGCAGCTGCCATTGCAATCGACGCCATGGTGATGATGGGTGCTTGGAAACGAGACGCTCTGCAAATTTCCATTTTTTAGGTCGAGGACAAATAGGCCGAATTCCGGTCGACCACGGTCAAAAAAAGGACAAAGAAACGGCCAATTTCGAATCGATTTATGGGGTGGAAGAGGAGAGAGAAAAGTGATTTTTGAAAAATGTTTTCTCTTTTTCTCTTTGAAAACTTTTTCAAAGTGATAAGCATGATAAGAGGAAGAAGAGATAAGAGGGGATACTACTGATCAGTTTGGGGTCAAAAATTACACAAAAATCAACAAAAAAAATTCCGAAAAATTCCAATTTTCCGGTCACTTGGCTGATTTTGAGCTTAAAAATTTGCAAATCACAGGAATTTCTTATCAGTGATTTTTGGAGAAATTTTTTTGAAATTTTCGAAAATTCAATCTAGCGATTTTGAGATATTTTGGGAAAAAAAATCCGAAAAATTCTTTTTTTTTTCAAATTTTCGAAAAATCGATCTGAAATTAACCGTTTCAGGCGATTTGAGAAAATTTGGTAAATTCCAAAAAAATTGAATTTTTACAAAATATTTTTTTTCAATTTCTCAAAATTTCCGATTTTGTGAATTTTTACAAAAAAATCGATCTAAAATTGAAAATTCCAGACAACTTAAAGATGCAAAATTCTCGAATTTTTCGAAATTTCCGATTTTTTGTATTTAGAAAAAAATTTCTGTCAAAAATGTAAAAATTTTTTTCGAAAATTTTCAAATTTCCAGCAAAATACTTGTACCAATTTTTAATCTTTTACGACTCTCTAATACAGCGATTTGAGCAATTTTTTCGAAATTTTCACAAAAAATGCAAAATTTCGGCGAAAAATGAAAATTCTCATTGGAGCGCATTTGGCGCATTTTCAGATTTGCTTTCGAATAAAGATTCTTCAAGACCAATAATTATCCCAATTAATTTTTGATGTCAAAAAATTGCAAAAATCGCTAAAAATATCAATTGCATCATATGACACAACTTGGGCGTTATTTTCTGATTTTCAACATTTTTTTTCAAAAAAAAAAGAAAAAACGAAAACATAAAGTACAAAAAAACAAGGAAAATTGTCAAGTGTTTGGGGAAAAAACTTTCGAAAAAACAAAAAAAAAACAGAGAATTTTAATTCGAAAAATCGGAAATTTGAGCGATTTTGAACGGTTCAATGATTGTTTTTTTTTTTGAGAAAATTTCAAGGACATCATCGAATTAACCACAATTTTATTTAACAATTTGGGCAAAAAATTAGCAAAATTTGGGCCCAAAATTAGCGAAAAGTCGATAAAAATCAGAGGAAAATTCTGGAAAAATTTTGAATTTGTGTCGAAAAATCAGAAAAAAACGGAGTAATTTGGGAATTTCGGCCGAAAAATCTGAGAATAACCGGACGAAAAATCGCTAAGAAATCGGGAAAAAATTCGGGATTTTGGTCGAAAAACCAGTAAAAATCAGAGGAAAATTCTGAAAAAATTTAAATTTTGGCCGATAAAACGGGAAAAATCGGCGAAATTTTGGAATTTTGGTCGAAAAATCCGAGAAAATCGGACGAAAAATTCAGAATTTCGGCTTAAAAATCAGAGAAAAATCGGAGAAAAATTCTGAAAATTTTTGGAATTTTTCTCGAAAAATCGGGAAAATTTTAACATTTTGTCGAAAAATCCGAAAAAATCGGAGAAAAATCGTGAAAAAATTTGAATTTCGGCCGAAATTCGTGAAACAAATCGGAGAAAATTCGGAAGTTTGGTCGAAAAATCTGACGGAACTCGGGGGAATTTGAAAATTTTGGTCGGAAAATCCGAGAAAATCGGACGAAAAATCGATAAAAAATCGGAGAAAATTCGGAATTTTGCCCGAAAAATCGGGAGAATTCTGAATTTATCTTGAAAAATCCTGAAAAAATGTGAATTTTGGCCGAAAAATAGGGAAAAATCGGGGGAATTTGGGAATTTCGGCCTAAAAATTGATAAAAAAGCGCTTTTTTTAATAGCAAAATGACAATTTACTATCATTTTTCTGTCTCCTTTTATCAGTTTTTCGGCCGCTTTTTCGCCATTTTCGCAGACAGCGATCACCGATTTTTTCGGTGAATTTCATGTGAAAATCACACGAATTCGAGAAGAATATCTCAATTTTTGTAAAAAATTTCGAAGTTTTACTGAAAATCGCCTTAAAATCCCCTGAAATAGGATCTTCAGAAGTCTCACATAAACTTCTGGAAAACTTAAAAATTTTCTTCAAAAATGCCCTATTTTTGAGCCAAAATCCACTCAAAATGAGCCGATTTGCACCGCGCAAATCCTCCGAAAATCCTGGGCGATAAAAACAAAACGAAAGCCAGGGGACCTATTGAAAACGACGGCAGCAGGGGGCAATACTGAAAGAACTCTTCCTTCTCTCTCTTTCTCACAAAAACATTTTTGTGTGTTTGTGAGTGAGAGAGAGAGAGAGAAGAGTGTCCGATGGGGCTTTCTTTTTCATCTCTTCTTCCCCAATCGTTCTGTGCCGCCGGTCGTCGCGCCACATCGTTTTTTTTCTTCAGAGTTTTGCATCACTTCTGTGAGTCAGAGAGAGTGCCGCGTTGGGGAAAAGAAATGGGACAAAAAAAGAAGGAAAACAGTGGAGAAAGAATGGGAAGTGACAAGTGATCAGCATAAAGACAACATCACAAAATAAAACAAAGTTGTTAATGTTAACTGCCCGCATTTTTAGGTAGGTCAACAGTTTGAATTCCAGGAGATCAAAAAGAATTGCAAGTCTATATGGAAAATGGACTGCTGAGGAGATGAGCCTGAACATCTGAAACATTAACTTTTCTTTCTTGTTTGTTTTTTGAACCGAATAAAATTTTTTTTACGATTTATTCCATTTGATTTGTATATCAGGATCAGAACAAAAAAGATTTTTGGAGAAAATGTAACAAACAACCGTGTTTATTATAATAGAAAATTTAACAATAAACAAGTCTTGACAGAATTACATCTTGTCGAGATAGTTGTCGAGGGCTGGGATACCCTCCTTGAGTCCCTTTCTCTTTCTGGTGTCCAAGACGATCTGGTTTGGCTTGGTTCCGGCCTCGAGTGGGTCTCCTGGGAGCACCTGCCAATGGTCGAACACGCATTGTGGGAAGGCTTGTCCTCCGGTGTTGGAGCGGAGATCAGCGGTGAATCCGAAGGACTCGTTGACAGGCAAGTAAGCCTTGACGACGAACATTGGGGTTCCGGTGACTTGGGACTCCTCGAAGACGTGTCCTCTTCTTCTGTTCAACACTCCGTAGATACCTGGAATGAAACAATTAGAAATAGATAGTTTAGTCTAGAAACAAACCTCCAACGGCGGCTTCTGGGCATTGAATTTCGACCAAGTACACTGGCTCGAGAATACGTGGCTCGGCGGTAAGGATGGAAGCGTAGAACACACGACGGGCAGTTGGGATGATTTGACCTCCTCCTCTGTGGATGGCGTCAGCGTGGAGGGTGACGTCATGGATGTTGAAGCGAACTCCGCGCATGTTTTCGTCGGAGAGAACTCCTTCACGGGTGGCCCATTGGAATCCAGCGACGACGGAATCCTTGATTTCGTTGAGGTATTGAACTCCCTTGGTGACATCGAACAAGAGATTTGGTCCGGTTCCGTCTGGTCCGAAGCACCAGATCTTACGGGCCTCAGTGACGTCGTATTCGTACTTCTCGGCGAGAATCTTGGCACGAGCCTTGAACTCATCACGAGCGTTGACGGTTCCTCCTTCGATATCGTCGGCGAGACCATCTGGCATCGGCTGAGCGGTACAGTGGAGACGGTTGTGCTTGTTTGGAGATTTGGACAAGCAGATCTGGTTGGACTCGGCTTGGACGGTTTCACGGTATGAGACGACTGGGTCGGATTTCTTGAGTGGGATGCAGGCGTGGTCTTCCTCCAAATCCTTAAGACAGATTTCCAAGTGGAGTTCTCCAGCTCCGGCGATGATGTGCTCTCCGGATTCTTCGAAGATACATTGGACCATTGGGTCGGACTTGGCAAGACGCTTAAGTCCTTCGACGAGCTTTGGAAGATCGGCTGGGTTCTTGGCCTCGACGGCGACACGCACGACTGGAGAGACGGAGAACTTCATGACACGCATGTTGTGGGCATCCTTGTAGGTGGTGATGGTTCCTCCCTTGACGAGGTATTGATCGACTCCGACGAGTCCAGCGATGTTTCCGGATGGAATATCCTCAATTGGCTCGATGTATCTTCCCATCATGAGGATGGTACGTTGGATGGTCTTCTCGTAGAGATCCTCCTTCTTTCCTGGAACGTAGTTTGGTCCCTGGATACGGGCCTTCATTCCGGTGGCAACCTTTCCGGAGAAGACACGTCCGAAAGCGTAGAAACGTCCCTTGTCGGATGTTGGCACCATCTTGGAGACGTACATCATGAGTGGTCCGTTAGGGTCGCAGGTCTTGATGGCAACGGCGGCCTCATCGTCATGTGGTCCCTCGTAAAGCATCTCCATTCTGTATTTTTGGGCAGTCACTGGGGATGGCAAGTGGAAGGTGATCATCTGGAGCATAGTGTCTCCGGCTGGGAGCCATCTACGCATGAAAGCCTTCATGAGTGGCTTTCCTTCCAAGTCCTTCTCGTCGTTAGCGAGCTTGATTCCGAGCTTTTCAACGAGAGCAGCGGTCTTGTCCTTCTTGAGGTTCATGATGGCATCGAAGACCATGAAGATTGGGTCAAGAACGAATTGGTTGAATCCTCTCTTGGCGTCATCGGTTTGGGTGTTGCTCCACTTCTTGGTCTTGAGGTCGAAGAAACGATCTCCCCAGAGGTTCTTCATGAGCTTGTCAACCTGAAACACATGTGAATATATATATTTGAAATTAGTTAGGTGAATGTGAACATACCTGAACTCCGAACTTGTCGGCGTACATCTCAGAGAATTGCTTGAGGGTGAAGGCCCATCCGTGGAGTCCAGATCCGAATCCGACGTTTCCGACAGATGGATCGACCATGATTGGTCCCATCGGTCCGTCGTCGTCTCCGTAGGTGGCGATGATGACGTTGATGTTCTCAACAATACGTTGGAAGGTTTGGAAGAGTTCCTCAGCTCCAAGTTGCAACTCGAGAAGAGCACGGTCCATCTTGTTCATGAAAAGAACTGGCTTGATACGCTCAGCAATAGCTTGACGGAGCACAGTTTCGGTCTGGACACACACTCCGGAGACGCAATCGACGACGACGAGAGCTCCATCAGTAACACGAAGAGCGGCAGTAACTTCAGACGAGAAGTCAACGTGACCGGGGGAATCGATCAAGTTGATCAAGAAACCGTTGTACTTCTCCTTCTTTCCGTCGACCTCGACGGTTTCGAATTGTTGCTCTCCCTTGACGAAGTCCAAATCCTTCTTGTCAAGCTCGAAGAAAAGAGAGATGGCACTGAAAAAGAGTCATTGAACTTCCGAACCAAATCGCATCATCATGCGAAACTTACGTAGACTTGATGGTAATACAACGTTCCTGCTCGTCCTTACGGGTGTCAGTGAAACGAGTTTCTCCGGCCTTGGCTCCGGCGATGATACCGGCCTTGGAGACGAGGGAATCGGTGAGGGTGGATTTTCCGTGATCGACGTGAGCAATGACGGACATGTTACGGATGTTGCGCTTGCGATCCATAAGCGCACGGATCTCATCGACCGTGAAGTTGACCTGAAAATCAAATAACTTGCATATTCAAATACTCAAGTTGGAGACTGTTCTGTTACCTCATTATTCCTATACTCCGACTCACAGTCACTAATTTAGACAACTCCCAGAGCAAGTGTTACGAAATTAGGTCACAAGATGTATTTTTCGAAGAATCATTGTATTTACAGAATTTTAGGGATTTACAGCAAATTCGACTGAGGAAATTGACAAAATCTTCTTCCGAATACACAGAAAAGCTTCTATAAGAAGCGAGGCCCAAAATATTTCGATTTTTACCGTTCCAAAATTAATTAAGTTTTAGGCCTAAAATTTATCTTGTCGGAATCGAATTTTCGTTAGGGTTTCCAGCACATTTTCAGACAATTAATGAAAATACTCACCATTTTTAGTTTTTTGTGGGATTCTCTTCAGAAACAACAACAAAAAAGGACCGCACAGAGGATAGCGGCGTGACAAGAGTGAAGAAATTTGGTGGGAAAACTCCTCCAGCGAGACACACTTAGATGCGCAGGCAAGGTACGGTAGCGCGCCAATTCAAACACTTGGCTCGCTGCCAAGTCGCGCCGATTTTCGCGCCTTTCCGTTGATTTGAATGGGGGAATTTCAGATTTCTGGGGGTTTTCTTTGAGGAATTTGATCAAAATAATTAAAAATTCGAAATTTTCAGTATAAATTGCATGAAAACCGCATGAAAATCAGAAATTTAGGCTTTTTCTTAGATTTCCATTTATTTTTAAGCCTAAAAATTCTAAATTCTTGCAGAATGGATATTCTCACGCCTTCCACCACCGACGACACAGATTCTCCATCGTCTCTGACCGTCGAAACACCAAATTCTGGGTCCCAAGTAAGCAAAAATCCATTTTTCCGCCTAAAAATCAATTTTCCCCCAAAAAATCAATTTTCAGGATCAAATTCTCCCGAAAGAAAACGAAATCGACGATAAAACAGCGGAAGAAGAGCGTAAGCAACGTCGTCTGGAGCGTCGAAAAGCGCTAGCCCTCGCCAGAGGTCCTGGCGCTCCAAGACTCGGAAATTCCGGAAATAACACAATCGATCTCACGAATGAAGACGATCACCCGAGTAATCGATGGTTTAAGAAGACGTTTAACACTGGAACGCTGCCAAAGAAGCCAAAAAGTCCGGAAGATTCGAAAAAGTTCGCCGTTCCAAGGCATATAGGCAGAAATGCCCCGAAGAGCTGTAAGTAGCCTTTAAAAAGCGGAAATTGTGATATCTAAGTTTTTCCAGTACTCGTCAGAGAGACTCTCCAGAATAAGCTAAAGGCGTCAATGTCCGTAAAGCGGCGGAAGGCTCAGGAGGAGCGTCGGAAGATGTATGAAGAAGATAATGAGCATTTGAAGGTGTCAAGTGAGGAGGAAGAGGAAGAAGAGGTGGTTATCAAGAAGAAGAAGACGAAAAAGCCAGAAGAGGAGTACAATAGTGAGGATGACGAGGATTATAAGCCGCCGGAGGAGGATTCAGAAGATAAGGAGGACGATGAAATGAGCGTGAACCTTCTCAACGACTCCTTCACCTTTGACGTCTTCAATAATGCCAAAAGATCGGGTCCCGGGTCGGTATTCTCTATTGAGGAGTCCCCTGAGGAGACGGTGCCCACGATGAGTCAGCTACTCGGTGGAGGTGGGGAGAGCCAGGAGGACCTTCTGAACTTCTGTTCTGGAAAGTTCGAAGAGTTTCCGGATACACTGCAAATGCTGCTGGCTCCTGGAGGCGTTGGGGAGGCTTCTGAAGGTTCTAAGCGTTCAGAAGACGTCGAAGAGGAGGAGGAGGAGGAGGGTCCCGTGAAGTCAAAGAAGAAATCTAGGATTCTGGATTCTGACGATGAGGAAGAAGCTCAAGAGAGTGTAGACGTCTTTGCAGAACTGAATCCCCCTGAAAAAAAGGAAGAACTACCTGAAACGGTCCCTGAAATGCATAGAACTAGGGTGGTGATCAGTGAGGATGAGGATTCAGAAGAGGAGGAAGCAGAAGACGTTGAGGAGGATCCAGAAGACGAGGAAGAGCCAGAAGAAGAAGAAGAAGAAGACAACGCTCCAGAACCCAATTTCGACGACGAGGATGACGAGCTGGCTGTCATCAAGCGAATCGAGCATCAGGAGTACAAGAAGCAGATCAAGAAGCGCACTCTGTTCGACGACGAAGCTTCGTTGTCAGGTGACGACGTGGGAAGTGACCTGGAGGACGAGGAAGGCGTGGAGAATGCCTATGAAGCAGAAGAGGGAGATGCAGACGACGTGCCGGATGATGACACGATTCGAAAGCAGAATTTTAGAATGTTGTTGAAGCAGGAGAATGATAAGGAGACGAGGTAGGTGGGGTGTGTGGTTTTTTGGGATTCCTGGGACTGATTTTTACGAAAAAGCAATTTTCAGAGCGCTCGCGAAGCTTCAAGAACGTCTTCTGGCTGATGGCGACCTGGGAGGTGTGGAGACGAACCGACAGTTCAGGTTCAAGCTACGAGAGGAGATGGAAGTAAAGATTGGCATGGGAGACGATGGCGCCGAAGAGCAACAGGAGGACGAGGAGCCCGATGAGGATGAGGAGAAGAAGAAGGAGCGCGCGGAGATGATCAAGTATCGAATTGAGCACGCCGAGGAGTTGCTACTTCTGGAGCAGACTCATTCGAACGAAGATGATGCAATTTTCGCGCGCGCTGGAAGAATGATGATGAGGAAGACTGAAAAAGTGGCGGCTGGGGAAGCGGAAGACGCTGGAAGCTTCCAGAAACACCTAAAACCAAGTCTTCTTTCGAAAACTGCGCTGGCAGTTTCCTTCCAAGAAGTTTTGAACTCGGGCGGTGCGGCGCCGAAGCAGATGTATGTGCAGAATTTCGATGGAGAGAGGAGACAAAGCAGCGGTTTGAAGCGTGGATTGACGACGACGACTCCACCGAAATCGGCGGCGAAACGTGTCAGATCCAGCAAATTGAGCTCATTGGAATAATTTTTTTAATCATATTTATCTTTCGAATTTTGTTTCACTTTTTGGTCTCGGTTCTTAAAGAAAAAACATTTCTGTATAATTTCTTTTTTATATCTTTTTTCATTTTTTTTTTATGTAGAAAAGTCTGAATCTGAACTTTTATTTTCGAATCAAGCTTTCTACAAGCCGAAAATGTGTCAATTTCCGGCTTTTTCCCCACAAAATGTATTCGAAAATACACGGAAAACGTCAATTCGCTGCGAGACCCGCTCTCGGAGATTACAGTAGTTTGAAGGAGCAGCGAGTTTCGCTAGTGGGTCTCGCGGCGATTTGACGTGGATTCCACGTGGAAAAAGGTGTCGTATTCAGAAAATTCGATGAAATTTCAATTTTTCAGCTGAAAATATTGGTTTTTAGACTGAAATTTTTATTTTTTTTTTTCGATTCTTTGTCGAATTTTTATTTAAAAATCGATATCTGTGTGGATTTACGATGGTGTTTGTGTTGATTTAGGTGCCGAAAACGGATTTTTAAGAATCAAATTTTTTTTTACTAAAAAAAAATCGATTTTTGGGTCAGAAAAGCTTCGTTAATTGACAGAAGTATCAGTTTTTTCGTTTTTAAAATCATCTTTGATGATTTTTAGGTCAATTTTTATGATTTTTGGACTATTTTTCATGATTTTTGGGCCATTTTTGATGATTTTGACCCGAAACTAATATATAAAATATGAATATTCCAGATGCTTCGAGCAGCTTTGACGCATCTCACATTCCGCAGAGCCTACCCACCGAAAGCAGCGGCGGCGGGTGCCGGTGTCAAAGTCGACAAATCGTTCGTCGACGAGGACGCCGTCAAACTAGCCACCCACGTGTGCATCAACGCCTACACACAAGGAGAAGAGCCGGGACCGAAGATTCTTCCGGACTCGGAATATCCCGAGTGGCTGTTCAAACTGGACCTTCGAGCGCCACGAGAGTTGGAGGACTTGGACCCGGATACGGACGGATGGGCGTACTGGAGAGCGTTGAGGAAGCGACAAATCGAGCAGAATCAACGGATTCAGAAGTTGAAGACGCGATTCTTGCATCTACAGAATAGTCCGAGCATGAAGAAGCAGTAGTTGATAGTGTCGATTTTTTTAAAAAGAGATTTTTTCCTTTTTTTTTGTTTAAATTCTTCTTTTTTTTGTATTCACACATGTGGGATTTTTGTAAATTTCTGTAAAAGTTTTGCTGCTTTTTTAGGTCGCGAAAATTTTCAGAATTTGGTATTTTTAGTGTAAATTGAGTAGGGACAGTGAGAATAAAATGTAAGCAAGAAAAATTTTAGTTTTCGAAATATTTAGATTTACAAAAATCCCTCATGTTTGTTTGTATTTTTCTCTTTTTTATTGTATTTGTATTGTTCTTTTTTCATTCATTCTTATAGATAGAATAAATTTTACAAAACATTTTAAAAGAATTTAGAAATGTTTTAAAGAAAAATTCAAGAATTCTTCAAATTTTCTGGTCTAAATATATATTTTTTTTTTCAGGAACCAAAGGGGCTTATTTTGATTCTATTGGTGGGAGAGCTGGAACTTTGACGACTAATTCGAAACAAAATGAATGATCCGGAATTCTTCTAGAAGAATTTCTCAAAAAAATATATGTAATTTGAATATTTTTATTTATTGGAAAAAAGAGTCAATCAATGATTAAATATGTACAAGTACGGGTAAAGAAATCAATCAAACATTTTAAATACAATTTTAAAAATTAGAAAAAAATGAGAGAGTCGGTTAGAAGAATTTCCGTCTATAACTGGGAGAACAGCAGCAACAACATGCCATACCGATTAGAACAATTATTGTACATGAGATTAAAAATAGAATTAAGACAAACGGAAGAGCAAGTAATGAGACTAGAACTTGGACAAATGGAGTATTTTCGTTCAAATCAGATATTACACATTCTTCACAACACTCGGGACAATCGGGAACAGCAATCGTTTTTATAGAGTGTAGAACAGCTCTTGTTAGCCTGAAAATTGTAATTTTTAATCAATTTAATACTCAGAATTCGACTTACCAAAGTATATTTAAAGTAGTAGCTATTATGATAATAGTACTTCAAATCAGTACAAATCTCTTCACTCTCCAAACTCTTCTCCTCTTCTTCATTTATCTCAGGCTTCGGCTCTCCATAAACCCGAACCAAACTAACACAAGTCATTTGAGAGTCTCCATAATTTTCCTTGAATCGAAATTGGACTGTTCCGATTAAAGGCACATTGAGATGAGAAGAAACATTACAGAACTGTTCAGTTCCAATTGATTGACTACTGTATTCACAGTTGGATACTAATAGTACCCAGTTTTGACATTTGGAATCAAAACACGCCTGAAAAATGATAAGGAAATCTTGAAGTATAAGAATGATATACTCACGACAACATCATAAGTCCTTGGAGTGCTCATTGGAATATGATGAGTCCATTTCGAATGTTGATATGATACAGAAATTGGTTTGATATTTTTGGCGAGATTGATAGTGAGTACTGAATTGTGTTCATTTGAACACCACGCTTTATGTGTTGGTGGTTGAGGACGATCGAGTAGAACAAGATTAGTTTGATCATATCCAGTAAACATTTCCTAGGTTCGCTAACTTTTTCGGGCTCATATGAAGTGCCCAACCGCGTTTCCGGAACCATGAAAGAGTCAATAATCTTGCGAGTACTTAAATTCTGGCAGTCACCAGCCCCAGGCATTATGGTTGATAACCGAAATTGAGAAGGCAAGGTGATAACGGATACAGCTAAACGTGTGTAAGTCATCAGCATGCATTTTAGCTGGTGAAAAACCGTTGATGGGACAGGGAGAGCTTCAAATACCACAAGACAACCAATGTTTGGAGAAAATAACAACAACCGTCTTAAAAACTCGAAATAAAGCGCATGAGGATGTTCCGGTTATGCAGTCAGACTTGGCAACTGTAATAAAACATGTCCAAACGATCGATCAGCAAACTGAAGTATCGCCGGAAACTTTATTCTTAATTTGTATGAGGGCCATTAAGCTTTGCTTCAGGATAAGGTTTTCCTGCGGTTATTGAAGCTTCTCCCTGTTCCATCAACTGTTTTTCACCGGCTAAAATGTATGTTGATGACTTACACCCGTTTAGCTGTATCCGTTATCACCTTGCCTTCTCAATTTCGGTTATCAACCATAATGCCTGGGGCTGGTGACTGCCAGAATTTAAGTACTCGCAAGCTTCTTGGCTCTTTCATGGTTCCGGAAACACGGTTGGGCACTTCATATGAGCCCGAAAAAGTTAGCGAACCTAGGAAATGTCTACTGGACTGATATTGAGGCCCTAGAGATTTTCTAGTATGAACTTCTGATCTTCCAGCTGATAATCCAGACGGTTCAACTGAAAATGATCTAAAACAGCGGTTGGCGCCCATCTGACGGACGCAGACAAAGTTATTTTTGAAAATTATGATTCGAACAGTGACAGGCTACTTAAAATATGATTTTTGGTTGACCGGATTCACGTTTTTCGGGTGCCCAGCCACTAATTCTATTCTGATCGTCACTATTCTGATCGTCTCTCTATCCTCAATGTGTTCTCCATTCGACATCGTAGGCTAAAAGCTCAACTAATTCTTCTCTATAAATTTTTAAATGGCTCCGCCTACTTTCCTAACCTAAATGCACATGTCAAATACTCCTCTCCCCTCGTCGCCCTATGAACTTAATTATTGTTCAGCCCTACTCCTTTGACTATTTTTCTTCAATTGTTCCCCTGTGGAACGCCATCACTTCCCAAGTTACCCGATTTCTCCTACCTTCCGAGTTTGAATCCTTAATTTCTTCCAGTATTACCCGTTATTGATATATTTGCTCCCTATTTTTCTTTTTCTACCGGTTACATCTTTCCTGTGTCAAATATCTAAATTATCCCGTTTCCCCTCCCCTACTCAGATCGGCCTCGTGAGGGACATTTTTTCTGAGTCTTTCATGTCCTGCCCTCTATTGTTTCATTACACCTGGTCAATAAACAAATTTAATTAATTCCCAAAGTGGCCCTATACTTATGTTACGCTTGCAGAAGCCGATTTTTTAGCTTTTGTTCCGGCATCCGGTAAGTTTTATTAATAAAATTACCAAATCATTTTCCTGGGGTAATTTTGGATTCTGATCACGATTCTGCTTTTAGATTTTCAAAAAATTGCGATTTAAAAAATTTTAGCTAGATTTTGGGGTGGCCCTATACTTATGTTACGCACTGTAGATTGTTATAGGTATCTTCCATTAATTCTCGAATGATCATTTTGGAAGGAAAAGTAGTTTCTGGGAAGCCAAGTGAGAATTCAAAGCCTCTGGTACAATCAGCTGCTGATGTATTGAAGAATATGGTAATGGAACAACCAATTATTGATTCGAAACAACCTAAAGCTGAGGAACTAATCACTCCTCCTCCTCCTCTGAATCTTTCCAATAATGATTCATATATTCCCAAAAAAGAACTCATATTGAATGCAGCTGATTATCTGAGAGGAGCATCTGTGGGCAATACTCATTCCTCTCGTTCCAATTTGAATCCAATCATTGGATATGATCAAACTAATCTTGTTCTACTCGATCGTCCTCAACCACCAACACATAAAGCGTGGTGTTCAAATGAACACAATTCAGTACTCACTATCAATCTCGCCAAAAATATCAAACCAATTTCTGTATCATATCAACATTCGAAATGGACTCATCATATTCCAATGAGCACTCCAAGGACTTATGATGTTGTCGTGAGTATATCATTCTTATACTTCAAGATTTCCTTATCATTTTTCAGGCGTGTTTTGATTCCAAATGTCAAAACTGGGTACTATTAGTATCCAACTGTGAATACAGTAGTCAATCAATTGGAACTGAACAGTTCTGTAATGTTTCTTCTCATCTCAATGTGCCTTTAATCGGAACAGTCCAATTTCGATTCAAGGAAAATTATGGAGACTCTCAAATGACTTGTGTTAGTTTGGTTCGGGTTTATGGAGAGCCGAAGCCTGAGATAAATGAAGAAGAGGAGAAATCAAGGAGAGAATATATTTGCAATAAATTCAAATGGTATCATCATAATAGTTTCTTCAAAAATGCTTTGGTAAGTTGAATTTAGTCATTTTACTGATTACAAGATATTATTTTGAGATGAATAAACGCTGCTCTGCACTCTATTCAAACGATTGCTCCTCCGATTGTCCCGAATGTTGTGAAGAATGTGTAATATCTGATTATAGCTGGGAAACTCTCTTCGATGTTCTCTTAGCGATATTTTTTGTTCTTTTGTGTTTGTTCGGATTTTATGCGACTATCTTGTGCTTAACCGGACAGTTATAATCTCATGAGCCCTCCCTCCTGAGTTTAGAGGATACTCTATGTTTTCCTATTTTTCAATCTACTTTACCTACTTTCTATCGAAACTATTCCCTTCTTTGTTCTTTTTTTTTCGTATTTTCAATTCGAACAATATTAATTTCGCGTTTTTCCATTTTTCCCATTAAAATTCGAAACTTTGTACTTCCCGCCAACGATTCGCTTTTGTTTCGCAATGAAGCGCGCTTTCCCTACTCTGCGCCTCTTCGCACTCCACACTCTCTCGCTTTCCCACTGTCTATTTTTTGGTATTTTTTCGGGTTTTTAGCCATTTTTTACACTTTTTTCTACTCAAAAATGTGTACAATATCGAGAGGAAAAATCGGCAAAATTTTGAAATCTACATCAACATGTATTTTTGAAAATCTAGCGTTTGAGGAGCACATTTTTCGGGTTAGCCGGATTTTTTGTCTTTTTTTCAAAGTGTTTTGTTTCCAGACCCATAACGTGGAGCGTAGCGGAGAAGTACTGTTAATGTGGAGTAACCGACCGTCTGTAGTGATCGGGCGCCATCAAAATCCATGGGTTGAAGTGAATCTGCCATTTGCCAAGGAGACAAATATCGAAATTGCCAGAAGACACAGTGGTGGAGGCACCGTTTATCATGATCAGGGGAATTTGAACATTTCGCTGCTAACGACACATGCGCAGCACTGCCGACCCAAAAATTTGAAAGTAGGAATTTTGAAATTTTTGAAAATGTTCAAAAAAATATTTTTTTCAAATTTTCAATATTTCAGTTCATTTCCGACGCTCTAAACTCTAATTTCACCGTTCAAATCGTCCCAAATAGCCGCGACGACATGGAACTCCAGCCTGGAAATCGAAAATGTTCTGGAACGGCCGCCAGAATTGCCAAGGGGCAGGCCTATCATCATTTGACACTTTTAATCGATGCAGACCTAGAAATTCTGAAAAAATCGCTAAAATCTCCATTTCGCGATCAAATCGAGTCGAATGCGACGAGAAGTGTCCGCGCGCTGGCTGTGGGATTTTTGAGAGAAGATGATGGGAATGCGAGTGTTGAGGGGGCGGAAATGGCCATTTCCGAGGCTTATAGGTGTGATTTTTATGTTAAAAATGGCTAAAAATTACTGAAAATCGCTGAAACATGAACTAGAAAAGTGGAAAAATGCAATCTTTTCGAAAAAAATTTTTTTTGCCAAAAAATATACGAAATACACTAGAAATATCGATACATTAGAGAAAAATCATCGAAATTTCGCAAAAAATTGACATTTTTCTATTTTACCTGCCCAAAAACTACGTTTTTTACTTGAATTTGACAGAAAAACTTCAAGATTTATTAAAAGATTACGGTAGGTGAAAGTCCGCAAGCACTGAACTTGACGACACTTTGCGGACTTTTCTCAATTTTGGAATTTTGAAGAGCAAAAAAGGTCCAATTTTGAGCTTTTTTAGTTGAAATTTGCAGATTTTTTTTTGAAATTTAATAGCAAAAATTCGAAAATTTTAAATTTTTGAAAAAAACGTCGAAAATTCTAAAAAATCTGAAAATTTTTTTTTTTGAAAATTTTCGAAAAAATTCCCAAAAATCACTTCGAATTCCCGAAAAAATTCAAAATAAAAAGTAACCTAAAAATGTGATTTCTCAATAAAAAATTTTTTTTTTCGAAAAATTAAAAATTTCAAAAAGTTCAATTTTTTTCCAGAAAACTCTTCGAACAATCGCAATTCGAAACGATCGATGTTAGTTCAAAAATCGCAGCAAACCCAGAAATTTTGAAAATTCTCGAAGAGCTAAAATCGTGGAAATGGATTTATGGAAAAAGTCCGAAATTCCAGTTTTCCGGTGAAAATGGGCAGGAAATCGAAGTGAAGGATGGATTGATTATGGGGACGGATCAACGATTTTCGACGGATTTTTAGAGATTTTTTTTTTAATTTTGATTTTTATAGCTTTTTTAGTTGAATTTTCTAGTCACTTTTAAGCTTTTTTTGTTGATTTTTCTTCAGAAAGTTTTGTTCTTTTTTGCTCAATTTCTCTCATTTTTACTCTGTTTTTTTGCTCAATTTTCAGCGATTTTCATATATAAAATTTCAGGTAAAACCAAAGCCAAACAATGAGAGCTGCCGCTCATATGGAGCAGTGGCGGGAGATTAGGAAGCAATTGTGTAAGTGTTCGAATTTAGGTAAAAATAAAAAAAATGGTTCAAAATTCATGAAAATGGTCCGAAATTCATGAAAAAAGATTCAAAATGTATCGAAAAATCATCAAAAATGCTGGAAAATGTTCCAAAATCATTGAAAAAATTCCGAAAAATCATTGAAAATAGCTCAAAATTCATTTTTAATGGATTTAATGGATTAGTCAATTTTGAAAATCTGAAAAGTCGTGAAAAATGGTCCAAAATTCATGAAAAACAGTAAAAAATGCGAGAAAATTCATTTTTAAAAATCTGAAAATTCGTTAAGAATATTGAAATTTTCTTTCAAAAATCATCCCAAAATTTGTCCAAAATGGTCTGAAAATCGTTAACTATGGTGCCAAACTCATGGAAAATGACCAAAATTCGTCTGAAATCGTCTGGAATTCACTTTAAAATGAAATGGTTCAAACTTCCAATAGAATTGATTCTAAATCTATGGGAAAATGATTCAGAATCGGTCCAAATTTAACCAAAACCAATAAACAAAGAGTTCTAGAAAATTTTCAAAATTGATTTCCAATGGACTTTGGTCAATTTTGATAATTTTCTAGACAATTTTTTAATGGTTTTGGTTAAATTTGCACTAATTCTGAATCATTTTCTCATAGATTTAAGATCAATTCTATTGGAATTTGAAACCATTTCATTTCAAAATGAATTCTAGACGATTTCAGATGATTTTCGGTCATTTTTCACGAGTTTGGCACCATTTTTAACGATTTCTAGACTATTTTGGATGAAAATTGACCGAAATCCATTAAAAATGGTCTAAAATTCGTCGAAAAACTGTAATTTTCAGTGAACAAATTTCGCGGAGTGCGTGTTTGTGATGAGCCATCACCACTCTACATGAGCATACCGACTCCATTGCCTCAGCTACACAACGTGCTGCCAGAAGAACAAGAGGAGATGGTTTTCACCGAATTGAAACTTTTTTTAGTGGTAAGTATACTTGCAAACAGACCCTGGGGCCCTGGATCAATATTTGTCATCCAACTGAGTTAGATAAGATAGAACTCGACGAGCACTACAAAATGGTACTATTTGGGACACTTTATCATGTCTGGGAACAAAGTCACAAGCCATCCTTTCCGTTTGGTCTGTAACTTTGTTCATGACCAAGATACGGTATTCCAAATAGTACCGTTTTGTAGTGCTCGTCGGATTTCTATCTTATCTACCGTAAAACCTGTAATAGAAGGGCCCACTGACTTTAAACTTTCAGCCAATTTATCACGGTTCCTGTCAAAGATATGAAAACGATGTCTACTGATAAATTCATTATCATAATATCAAAAACATTTTACCAGTTGACAAATTTTCGCTATCTCTCATAGGAGCCGAGATAATTGAGCTCAAACGTGACAGTATGGGGGCCCTTCTAATACAGGTTTTACGGTAATTTAGTTGGATGAAAAATATTGATCCAAAAATAAACGAATAAAAAACCCCCCATTTTTCCAGGGCCACCAAACGGAGAACATTCGCATCGAGGAGTTCGACGATCACCTCCTCCCCACCTCCATCGTCGTCAACATCTCCTTCGACCCCTACATCCGCTCGCAGCTAGAGAGATTCCATGAAATCCTTATCACAATCTCAACAATCAAAATCTGCTGCTACGCCATCATCCACGACGCCGTCACCTATTCGCCCATCGGCGCCGCCGTCTCAGCAACCATCGAAAAGAAAATCAATGGATTCGTCAACCATATCTGTACGAAACTAAGCGCTTTGAGTGCCGAAACCACTCAACCAATGAACAATCTGTTCCGAGAAATGCACAAAATCCACGAATCGCTAACTTTCTATTGTGGCATCGTCAAAACGATATATCTGGAGCAGCTCATCGGTGGACAGGTGCTCACACTGATCGATTCGAAGCGACGGGACGTCTTCTCGGGGCATATTCAGGATTTAGACGACGTTTTTCAGGCGGGATGGGCGGTGTTTGCGAGAAGCATTGGCAGATTGGTGTGCAAGTTTGAGGCGGATTATTTGAATTATGAGGTGCGTTTTTTAAAGAAAAAATCTAGGTCATGAGACAAAAATCTAGGTCATGACCTGAAAAAATTTAGATCATGACCTAGAAAAAACTAGGTCATGACCTAGAAAATCTAGGTCATGACCTAAACAAATTTAGTTCATGACCTAGAAAAACTAGGCTATGACCTGGAAAAAATATAGGTCATGACCTAGAAAAAGCTAGGTCATGACCTGAAAAAAAACTAGGTCATGACCTAGAAAAAATTTAGGTCATGACCTGCCCAAACATGGGCCTTAACAGCCTAAAATTGGCCTGAAATGGCCTAGAAACGCTTCAAAATCACCTAAAATGGGCCTAAACCACCTAAAATCGTCCAAAAATGACTGACCCTAAATGACCCAAAAAGTCAAAAACGGCAAAAAATGGGCCTGAACAGCCTAAAATAAGCCTAAAATCGTCCAAACTAGGTTACAACCTGGAAAATCTAGGTCACGACCTAGAAAAAATTAAATCACGATCCGAGAAATCTAGGTCATGACTTTGAAAAAAAAATAGGAAAATGTAGGTTATGACCTGAAAATATCTAGGTCACGGCCCAAAAAAACTAGGTCATGACCTAGGAAAAACTAGGCTGTAACCTAGAAAAAAACTAGGACATGACCTAGAAAAATCGACCATGTCATGTAAAAATCTAGGTCATGACCTAGAAAAAATAAGTCACAATAGGTCAATTTTGACCTAGTTTTTGTTTTTTTTACGTTAAAATGTTTTTCTTCCTCTAGATAATGCTCTTTGAGCTCAATTATCTCGGCTTCTATGAGAGATATCAAATTTTCGTCAATTGATAAAATGTTTATCATATCATCAGTGATATTTTATCAGTTGACAAATTTTCGATATCTCTGATAAAAGCTGAGATGATTGAGCTCAAAGTGATTGGCGTTTTAAAGTTCACTTAAACTAGTTTTTGCCTTTTTTTTATCCTAAAAGTTCCAACTTTTTGACAGCTTCAAAGCGAGCCTGATTTGGACCGGTTACAGTAATCAATATATATATACATATATATATCATTAAAATGTGCCAAATTACCTAAAAATAGCCTAAAATGACTGGAAATCGGCCTAAATTGAACGTAAACTTCCAAATTTCCCCTGTTTTCCAGTTCGTCATCTGGTCCACGAAACAAATCGACGAGAACCACCGGAAACGCCTGTCGGCCAGCCAAACGAAGCACACAAAATCGCCGAAATACGTGATTATTGACTCCCTATGCCCGAAATTCTTTCTCAAATATCTGGATATTCTGGTGAGATGTGCCGAATTCGGGGACGCGTCGAAAGCGGAAAATTCGAGAAGAATGTTGAAGAAATCGCCGGGAAGCCAGGAAAATGGGAAGGAATCGGTGGAGAGTGTGATGGAAGACGTGCGAAACGTGGATTGGAGTCATCTGGATGTGAACACGACGATCCGGATGTTGGGACAGTTCTCGAGAAAAGAGTCGGCGTGTCTTTTGAGGGAAATTACGAATGCGACGAATGTGGATCAAGCGATTCGCGATATTCATGAGCTTCTGATTCGTGGATCATGTGCGCATGACGTTATGATGAATGCGTTGAAAGCGGATATTCTATCTAAGCCAGTTGATGTTAGTTGAAAATCCCAAAAAATTCAAAATGACCTGAATCCAGTCAAAAAAAAAATTCAAAAATTTATAGAAGATTGACCAAAAATGCTTTTTAAAAAATTAAATTCAAAAATTTTCAAATTTCCCGCCAAGCCAAAAATTCAAAATTTGAAATTTTATCCAGGAAGTCGGTAATCTCCGAATGAAGAAACTGACGATGGATGTTCTGGGCACCGCGGCGGAGAAGCATCATCCGTTCTGGAAGTATTTCAGTTTCATTATCGATCGACAGAACGTCTTCGACATGATGGGACAGCGTACACGTCATGGATCACATACCACGGAGCCGAAAGAAGCGGTAAGGGGCGTGTGGCCTAACTTTTGCAAGTTGAGTTTTCTAGGCCATCAACGTTTAAATGACCTAGAAACCTCACTAGACTAATATCAAGTTGTTTCTAGGCCATTCACCATGGTGGCCTAGAAAACTCAACATGGCTCTGGGTCAGTATCAGACTATTTCTAAGCCATTTTAGCATGTTGGCCTAGCTTTTGCAAGTGGAGTTTTCTAGGCCACCATGTCAAAAAGGGCTAGAAATGGTTGGATATTCGTCTGGTAGGGTTTTCAGACAATTCAACATGGTGGCCTAGAAAATACATCTCGCAAAAGTTAGGTTACCACGTTAAAACGACCTAAAAACCCACCAAGTGAAGAGTGGCCTAACTTTTGCAATTCGAGATTTCTAGGCCACCATGGCACAATTCCTAGAAACCCTACCAGGTGATTACACGGTTATTTCTAGGCCATTC